GCAAGAGCAGCTTTTGCATGATCTTGGCTAGCCTTAGACTAGTCTTGCGCAACTCTGGCTAAGTCTTGGGCGAATCTTACTTGGTCTTGTGCAAACCTATCTTGTTGCTGGCCATCATGCGGATATTATCCATGATAAGTCCATTTGCCATGGTTTGGGCAAACTTTTCCACCATGTCACTTTCATCAAGTGCAAACCGTGAACCTCAGTTGGAAGGTCACTGGCCTGCAACTCTTCTATTTCAGCAGGGTCTTGGACAGATTTGCCTTGCCTTCTTCCACCGGCCATTGAACAATCTGTCTAGATGTCCCGCCAAGCTTGCCAATATGTTCGGCTCGCGAAAAAACGCTGGTTTCGCTTTTCGGATTGCTTGGAATAGTAGGAGTGTGAGTAGAATAGTGTGGTGTGCCAGCGTGCCAGGAACTACGGTAGTTCCAAAGTAGAAAAAAACGATTATCCAGTTGGAAAATTGTAGGGATCAGGCGATTATACGACGATCTGGAATGACCACATTCGAAGGGTCTTTTTTTCCTTTGAACAATGGCTTCAAACTATTCTATGACTAATGGAAATGAAGACGGTATTGCAGGTGCATGACTGGAAATTAGAATAATTGAAATGCAGGACTGGAAATTAAGATAACTAAAGTGCAGTGCTTGGCTAAAAGTAGCAAAAAGAGTACACGACTGAAAATTCATCGCATGAAATTAAAGCTATATGGAATAGCAAAGTGTTGGACTCAACATAAAATAATATGTATTCATTGCTGGAATGGAAATACATGTACTAACAAAGTGCTAAGTTTAGACATAATGTAAATTCATTGTTGAAATGAGAGATACATAAAAGCAAAGGTGCTTGTGTTAATGTGTTGTTTGGGCTGGGCAGGCAGACCTTGCAAACTAGACTTGAGAGCTCTATTTATAGAGCTTCTTTGCATGCAGCAGCTTGGTGTGGCAGCTTCAGCAACTTCTACGTGGCCAAATTTCGGACTGTCATGTGCCCCATGATCTTTCAACTTTCTTTAAATGTTGCCAAGCATAAAACCATATTCTCCCATGATTTATAACTGATAGATAGTGGGCTTGGTGGTTGAATACATGCTTGTAAGCCTTCTCCCATGTTTTGGAACTGCCTAGATGGAAAGGCAGCGGTTTCCAGCAGTAATTAAGAACTTCCACCTGGAAGGTCCGGATCGTGCCACCTGTCCTATGTCTTCCTTAGTCTTCTCCCTCATGCGTGGTCTTCTCTTTTATTTTAGACCATGATTCCACTAATTTAGCCATGTCATCCATTATCTTCATACACTCCCTCAGTTAGTGGTAGTTACGAGATGAAGTTCCACCACTTTCAACTGACGTATTCTTGTTTGGCCAAGTGTCCCACGATTTCTAATAGTCTTCCCTTTTTGTAGAACGTTCCTTCTGTATAATTTCTATATAGATCATGCATGTATATAAAAATTATTCATATATCCACGTTCCCTTGGCTTTAGGTAACCTCTTCTGGTTGGACTTTCCATTCCAGTCTTTGTATCATGACACCGTGGCCCCTTTCTTTCAGTGATTTCTTCATCATGGGTAATATATATGTAAATATATATATCCATGAATACATCATCCCCCACGTCTACTGACCATGATCTCCATATTTTAGTAACCTTCCTTAATCAGACTTTCCCTTCTTGCTTGATGGAGTCGTGGTCCCTGAATTTCAGGAACTTCTTCATCGTGGGAAATATTCCATTCATGCCGTCGTGGTCTCTTCTTTCAGTGATTTCCCTTTCATGAGTTATATCTGATATATAAATATATATACATAAATATATATCCATAAATACAGATATTCCCCATGTCCCTTATTCTTCTGTAAGCCCACGTTTTCTTGAATTTTTGGTAACTTCCCTCCTTTAGACTTTCCTTTCTGAGTTTGGAATCCATGGCGCCATGGACTCCTTAATTTCAGCAGCTCTTCATCGTGGATTGTATATATATATATATATATATATATATATATATATATATATATATATATCCATCACCCAACTTCCTTCTTATTAGCCACGTAGTTGACTTAGCCAAATTATCTGTTGAAGCCTCCTATAATTTAGGAGAAAATCCGGCCCCATTACCTTGCTTAGTCAACTTTGGTCTTGCCACCTTGTACTTAGGAATATACAATCTTTGGCCCCCTAAAATCTTTATAACAAACAAACAATTCCTAAAAGAATTGAAATATTTCATGGTAAGTTTCATAGAACTCGCCATGTGTGGAAAAATTCATTCCATATAGGAAGATGTGGGCCCTTGCTTTAAAGGTGGCAAGTCCCACCTCTTTCCTTTTAAAATAGAACCCCACATAGTAGGATTGTATTGCCCACTTGTTTTTTATTTCAATTACTACGTAATATTACATACCTTCTAATAATAACTTATTAGAGTTGCGATCTAGTATGGTAAGTTCCATTGGAACTCGTCACATGTCGCCTTTCTATTGGGCCAAAAATAATGGAGTAAACAAAACCCACGGAGCGTACTTATTCGAACAAGCCAGGTTTAGTGTAACTGTGGGAGGAAGCTAGCAGCTCCCCACTCCCATGGAAGGGAGCGAGGAGTGCAGAAGGAAGAAGATGACTGTTTGGTTAGAGAGAGAAAGGTAGAGAGAGGTGACAACATTTTTTTTCTGTTGGTAAGGATTTTTGTGAAGGTTATACATGATTAAAGGATTTATTTTAGTGCTTTTGAACATGGGGAAAATTAATTTTGATGGTTAGCACACACATTTATAGCAAGAACAATAATTTATGCTCATGTGAACACATTACGTATGTCATAGAAAGATACCACCAAGGTGTGTTCAAGTAATTAGCTTGAAATGGTAATTAATCTTACACGCCATCGTTTAATAAAAATAAAAAGTTGACCCCACTTTGACAAAGAAATGTTGAAATTCACAACCAAGAGAAGAAAAAAAACATAGAAGAGTATTGTTTATCAAAATTGTATGACACGCATAATCAAAAGTTACGTTTTCTAACTACTGAAATATTAGTCAAACGGGTCCCTTCTACTCGAAAGGAAAAAGAGAGGTTCGACCTATATTGGGAGCCGATAACTCTTATTTTAATTACTTGAGATCGATTACAAGAATTGTTTTGAGAGAGGGTTATCAAAAGTTATGTTTTCTAACCACTGAAGTATTAGTCCAATGGATCTCTTCTACTCAAAAGGGAAATGAGGTTCGAGCTATATAGGGAGTCGATAACTCTTATTTCAATTACTTGAGATCAGTTATAAGAATTCTATTTTGAGAGAGAGTAATCAAAAGTTATGTTTTCTAACCACCGAAATATTAGTTTAATAGGTTTCGAGCTCCATAGGGAGCCGATAACTCTTATTTCAATTACTTGAAACTGTTTACAAGAATTTTGTTTTACCATCTTAGATACCTTATGATATAAATCATTCTGATTAATACACAAGAACAAGAGAATGATAACCTCCACGGGTGACTCAGTAAATAAGGATTCATTCTCTTGGGACAAACTATAAACTCGGACACCCTAACTAGATTCGATTCTTACAAGGTGCAAAAATACTCGGGTTTAAAATATATATGTGTGATGTACGAGTACAAACCACTCTTAAACTAAGCTAGTCAAAGTGAATAACATCACTCTTAATAAAAAAAAAAATTGATGATGTGATATGTTCCCGAAGACCCAAAGTCGGTCCAACATTTTGAGGCAGTCTTTGTATTACAAATAAAAGAGCAATTGAAGACTTTTCCTTGATCAATTTGTAGCACTGGCCCCGCCATTAAAAAGAAGAAGGCCATTATCTTCGAGTCCAAGGATCAAAGACGCATGAGTCAAGAACATGATTAAAGTATTAAGTTTAGTGCTTTTGAACATGGGGATGAGAGTGATTGTGCGAAAGTCTGAGCATTATAACTATTTATTGCTGCATCTAACTTAAGTAAAATAAAATAAAATATCTAATAATAAATAATGTCTAAAATTACGAAAAATGATAAGTCTAAATTCAAAATATAGATCGCTCACAAAAATTCAAAACAAACTGAATTTAGAAAATCGTGTGAACTTTAAAATAATGCAAAAGCACTACTAAAATTCATTAAAACTTCACGAAAGAACCTAATTTTAGATTTTAAACGAACTCAAACCTCATAAGCAAGTTGGACACTGATGTAGAACTCATTGGAGTCTTTTCGTGCATATGGAATGAGCTCAGTGACTACTTGTTGATTGAAAATTATGACCGACTGAATTTGTTATATTTTTATAATTTTTTTACTTTTGACAATCTAATTGATTCATAAAATCCATAAATAGTTATTTCGTTAGTCGAGTTTTGGTTCTTTTCATTGTTTTTCATTTTTTTTTATTACTTTTGTAACTAAAGGTAATAGAAATATTTTGTGATTTATAATATTTCGTATTAAAATATATTTAAAATAAAATCTATCATGAGTTTGTTAGAGATAGAGAAATCTCGTGTTATACTTTGTCCTCTCAACATCACTGGTGTGATGATCCATCCACCTTCTCAATCAATCTATTTTAATTTACATTTTGAACCAAACCCAATGAGATGTGACTAATGAGGCTATATTGATAAAAATAATATAAGAATTATCCTTTTATTCCTTCCGACCAAACAAAAAAAAAAAAAAAAAAACCAACCAACCCTGTACTTTGGAGAGAATATTTTACCATGCAAGAAGGAATTTCATGATACTGGCTTTTGAAAACCCAAGTGGATTTGTGTGTGTATTAGATCTTTTGAATGGACAAAAGAATAGTATTAAGATCTATTTTGATTCCGACTTTTGACAAAAGAATAATATTTCATGATAGAAAACCATGTTTTCATTATCAAGAAGTTGAATTCCCAAGCAGTGGGGCAGCCCAAAGTGGGATTTGTGTGTGTATATTCCACATACTAATTGTGTTCTATAAAAGCCTCTCCATACTTGGAGCCCTTCATCATCCATCCAACCAATTGCCCTCTTATAGTATCAAACCCACAATGAAATTCCACAACCAATTTCTTTTTAATTTCAAACATCTATTATTTCCCATCATCATCATCATCCTTGCGGTGTTGCTTTCTTTTTCCCGTTTCACTGCTTGTGAATCTTCTTCTTCTTATTCTGCAGCTCCAATTAGAGAAAAGGAAAGAGAGGCTCTTTTAAAGTGGAAAGCCAGTCTTCACAAGCAAACCCAATCTCTAATTCTCTCCTCCTGGGCTCCAAACACCAGCAGCAGCCCTTGCAATTGGGTTGGGATTCATTGCAAAAAGGGTAATGGAAGTGTCACCCACATACGCCTTCAAAGTGTTGGTTTAAGAGGTACACTTCACTATCTCAACTTCTCATGCTTCCCTCATCTCCGTAGCATCGATCTTTATAACAATTCACTCTACGGGACAATCCCCAACCACATCACTAGCCTTTCCAAGCTCACCTCCCTTGACTTGTCTTTTAATTCTCTCTCTGGAGCAATTCCATCTGAGATAGGGAAACTGATGTCGCTCACTGAGATGTCACTCGCGACCAACAATCTCATAGGTCCAATCCCTGCTACAATGTGGAACTTGACCAACTTGACCGTTCTATACCTTTATGACAACAAACTTTCAGGACCCATCCCTCAAGAAATTAGAATGTTGAGGTCTCTTGTCGATTTGGAGTTGTCCGAGAACTTCTTCTCAGGTTCAATACATGCTTGGATGAAGAACTTGGTCAACTTAACCACTTTATACCTTTATAAAAATAAACTATCGGGACCCATCCCTCAAGAAATTGGAATGTTGAGGTCTCTTGTCAATCTCGATTTGTCCGGGAACAACTTCTCAGGTCCAATACCTTCTTCGATAGGGAATTTATGCAACTTAACCATGTTGCCCCTTCACGAAAATCAACTCTCTGGATCCATTCCATCCACAATTGGGAACTTGACCAAGGTCTTGGGCTTTAGTTTGTACGAAAACCTGTTATCTGGCTCTATCCCACGAGAAATAGGAAGGATGAAATCCCTCGAGTCTCTATCCTTATCGGATAATAAATTCACTGGATCTATACCTATAGAATTAAATAATCTTACCCATTTGCAAAACTTGCAGTTGAGTGAGAACGAGATTACTGGTCATTTACCACATAACATATGCCGTGGTGGATCACTTGTAAATTTCACTGCATTTGGCAACAATCTCACAGGTCCAATCCCTAACAGCTTGAAGAGTTGCACTAGCTTATTCAGAGTTAGGCTTGAAAGAAACCAACTTTCTGGAAATATATCAAATGATTTCGGCATATATCCAAACTTAAATTATATTGATTTGAGTGATAATAAAATGTTCGGTGAGCTTTCTAGTAAATGGGGCCAGTGCCATAATCTTACAAGCTTAAGAGTGTCCAACAACAATATTTCTGGTGAGATACCACCTGAATTGGGAAATGCAACTCAGCTACGTGTACTTGACATCTCTTCAAACCATCTCATTGGAAAAATCCCAAAGAGTTTAAGAAGGTTAACCTCATTGATAAACCTTGATTTAAACAACAACAAACTTTCAGGAAACATTCCTTTGGAAATTGGTGAGCTGTCAGACTTGGAACGTCTTAATTTGGCAGCAAATAATCTAAAGGGCTCAATTCCGGGACTGTTAGGAGAGTGTGTGAAACTATTGTATTTGAATTTGAGCAAAAATATTCTTGCTGAAGGTATTCCTTTTGGCATAGGCAATTTACACTCTCTTGAAAACCTTGATGTCAGCCACAATTTATTAAAATGGAAAATACCAGCCCAACTTGGACAATTGGAGAAGTTAGAAGCATTGAATCTCTCCCACAATAAGCTTTCTGGATCCATTCCATTGGCTTTTGAAGGTATGTTAAGTTTGACTTCTGTTGATGTATCATACAATCAGTTGCAGGGTCCTGTTCCAAAAAATAAAGCCTTTCAGGAGGCTCCATTTAATGCATTCCGTAATAACAAAGCTTTGTGCGGCAATGCCACTGGTTTGAAGGCTTGCGCCCCCACAAAGAACAATGATGCTAATAAGGAGGAGAAGAGCAACAAACTTGTGATTTTGATAATAGTCCCTCTTTTGGGCATTTTACTTATTTCATTTATGGTTGTTGGGATTTTTTATCTTCTTTACCCCAAAGTGGGCAGCGTAGAAAATGAGCCAAGAAGAGAAAACAATGAGAATTTATTTGCAATATGGAGCTATGATGGAAAACTGGTTTATGAAAACATCATTGAAGCAACAGAGGACTTCAGCTCTGATCATTGCATTGGGGTAGGAGGATCAGCAAGTGTTTATAAAGCTCAATTGCCAAGTGGTCAAGTTGTTGCTGTGAAGAAACTTCATGCCTCGGAAGATGATGGTGGACGGGCTATCGATCAAAGTGGTTTTACAAGTGAAATTCGAACATTAACAGAAATACGTCATCGGAATATTGTGAGGCTTTATGGTTTTTGTTCGCACCCACGACACTCGTTTTTGGTTTATGAGTTCTTGGAAGGGGGAAGTTTGCAAAAGATCTTGAGCAGTGACCAACAAGCCTCGGAGTGTGGATGGATTAAGAGATTGAATGTGGTAAAAGATGTGGCAGATGCTTTGTGTTACATGCATCATGATTGTTCGCCTCCTATAGTTCATCGAGATATATCAAGCAAGAATGTTTTGTTAGATTTTGAATATGTGGCTCACATCTCTGATTTTGGCAGTGCTAGGCTTCTAAATCCTAACTCTTCCAATTGGACTTCATTCGCGGGGACCTTTGGATATGCTGCTCCAGGTAATTTTGCTTATTACATTATTTTAAATGATTTTGGTCCAATTGTTGTTCTATAAAACACCTCTTTCAATCTTAATGGAATACACTAATTACACAATATACTAGATGCACTTCTTCATTTAACCAATCTCCAATTTCATAAAAGATAATTTAGCCTAAATTGCAAAAATATCCAATTTTTTGTACCTCTTGATCCTCACCTTTTTGTGTTCTATAGTTATGTTGAACAATGATTGTTAGAAAAAAAATTATATTGTCATATTTCTCTTTTACTTTTCTTGTCCTTTATTCATTGTTTTGCAGAACTTGCTTATACAATGGAAGTGAATGAGAAATGTGATGTTTTTAGCTTTGGAGTGTTGGTAGTAGAAGTGATAATGGGAAAGCATCCAGGCGAGCTCATCTCCTCTCTATCAACATCATCATTATCGCCACCGACATTGGTTGTCCGAGATATACTCTTGAAGGATGTGTTGGATCAACGTCTTTCACCTCCAATGGCACAAATGGTAGAGGAGTTAGTATTTATCACCAAGCTAGCTTTTGCATGCTTGCATGCAAGTCCCCAATCTCGGCCAACAATGAGAGAAGTCTCCACAGAGCTATCGAAACAAAGGTCAACTCTGCAAAATTCATTCCACAAGATTACACTAGGACAACTGCTTGATATTGAATCTTTAGCCTCCTCATTATTTTTGCGTCTTTAAAATTTTTATGTTCTAGTGTTATTTTTTCCACTTTGAATTTTCAATTTTATCGTTTATGTGTGGTATTCCTTTGTCCTGTTTATCTTGTGTGGTGAGGATGATGCCAAGATTGTTGTAAGATACATTGCATTTTATTGCACATCGTAAGACCAATCTAAGTGTCTCTTATTCAATAACATACATAGCTCCTATCGTAACCTGCTGAAGAACACAATATAGGGCAATTCAGTGTTGTTGAGATTTAAATGTGTTTGTTGTCATTCTTCAAGTAGTGTGAAATATTGGGCAAGGAGAGTTTCAGTGGTCTTTTTAGTCTATCATTGTAGCAGCAGTGTGTGAAGGAGCAAAACCCTTTGTGTTTGTCACTTATCGACAAGGCCGGATTTGCTACACTTGCCTTTGCTCGATTTGCTTTCTACCTTGAAAGGTTAATTTTATGGTTTCCTACCTCTGTGTGTTTGTGTGTGTGTATGTAGTAGATATATATTTGAACTTATATAATATATGATTGTTTTTTTGGAAATAATCATGGGAAAGCATCCAGGCGAGTTCATCTCCTCTCTATCATCATCATCAGCAACAGCAGCAGCAATAACATCATCATCATTATCACCACCATCTTCTCTTCCACCACCATTGACAAGCAATGTCCGAGACATACTCTTTAAAGAAGTGTTGGATCAACGTATTTCAACTCCAATGGAACAAGTGACTGAGGAATTAGTCTTTATCACCAAGCTAGTCCGCAATCTCAGCCAACAATGGGAAAGGTCTCCACATAGCTATCAAAACGAAGGCCAACTCTGCAAAATCCATTCGACATGATTACAATAGGACAACTGTTTGATATCAGATCTTCAGCTTCTTGAACATTTTTGCATCTTTGTAGTTTTTACTGTCTTGCTTATCTTGTGTTATGAGAATAATATCAAGATTAGTGTAAGCTATGTTGCCTTATATTGCAAATCATAAAATAAAGTTAAGTGCTTCGTATTCGGTAACATGTATACCTCTTTTCATAACCGGAAGAAGACAATATAGGGCATAACTAAGTGTGTTGTTGAAATTTAATGTGTTTGTTGTCATTATTTGGAAAACAAACTTGGAAATGTAGAGTATTGGGCAGAAAGAGTTTCACTGGTCTGTTTAGTCTAACATTGTTCCCCTCCTAATACTGTAATTAGAAAACTGAACTAAACACACCCAAAAGCTTCGGTTCCATTCCATCCACTATTGGTAACTTGACCAAGCTCTTCGACTTGAATATGTTTGAAACTTAAATGTCTGGCCCATTTGTTCAACATTGCTTTAAGCAACAAAAGACTTTCAGGCAACACTCCTCCAAAAATTGGCCAGCTAACAAAATTGGCAAGTCTTAACTTGGCAGCAAATAATTAAGTGGCTCAGTTGAAGAATGCATGAAATTATTGCACTTGAATTTGAGCAAAAGTCAAAAAGCTAGAGGTGCACATGATTCGAATTGGATCGGTATTTAGAAAAATTGGAGCCATTCCAATTCTTATGGTTCCAATAACATTAGCACCAATCTGAACCGATCAACTGCCTTCCAAGAAAGGAGGTGGCTTTGGTCTCAGGAAGGTTAGAGAGATTGACAACATTGCTAAGTGCCTTCTTCTATGGGATTATTGTCAAGGTAAGGACAGAATATGGATTGGTTGGTGCAAAAGACTATTTCTGATTGGCATAGATTGTAGGCCTGCCATATTTTGTTTTTGCCTTCTGTCACGCCCCAATTTTCTAACACAAGAAACCTTGTCTTGTCTTAAAATATGATACATGACTCGCATAATTCATCCACAATAACCCATGCTTAAATCAGTAATAAAAGAAATTCTATTTAAAAATCCATCATTGCAAAGGAAATCTTGACATCCACCAACAAAATAAAATTCCACCAATTGGGTGAACCCTACTACAAATCACCTTAATAAGAAGCTATAATAAAATAAATAAAAACATACCATAACATACTCATAGTCTTAGATTTTGCAACCTGCCAACCTACATTCTAAAAATCACCCTCACTAACGGCCAATCTGAGTTGACTTTAACTGCACTCACCATCATCTACCATGGCTTAACTTCCAATACTAGTTCAATTTCTTTACTGAAACCCACGGATCCTTAGTTGACACCTATATAACCATGGATTATTGTGGATGAATGATGTAGTCACATACCAGATTTTAGTATAAGATAAGGGTTGTTGTGTTAGAATTTTTGGGGCATGACACATTCCCTCTTTTTTTTTTGTAATTTAAAGCAAAGCCCATTTATATTTCTGTACTCCTTTTTTCGATTAATACAAAAACCATTTAGGAAAAAAAATCTCTCTTATAAATTTTTCATATAATATACTCAACTGAACAAAAATGTAATGGTAGAAGATGGCCCAATGCCTAATCACTAAAAAAATTGTTGGCTAAACCTCGAAAAATATCACAAAAAACCTAATCATCTATATATATATGCAGATTGTTTCAACAGCACATCGAGAAACTAAGATACTTAAAGGTTTCACAAGTTTGTGTCATTTTGAGGCAAACTAAATTAATTTAAACCAAATAGTTATCGTGCATTTGAACCTGTGTAATTACAAATGAGCTATTTGGCTTGTGAGGAGACACATACAAGAGGAAATGAAAAGGAAATCTATGACGATTTTAAAGCTCCAACAGCGTAATCTCTAACTCTCAACCAAACATAGCCTCAAGGGAATAAAAGTTTGCCTTCTATATCTTCTGCTGAACAGAAGTCATGCTACTGTTGGACAAAATTAAGAGCGACAATGATATGTCCATGGGAACAGTTTTGAATATCCCAGAAGGTGACACACGTGTGAATGACACGAGTCAAGAAGTGAGGCACACCCAGAATGGGGTCTGAACTGTGATGATAAACAAAAAATCATCTGAACCATATTTTGGGAGATGCTGATACTTTCCAGTGCTCTCTCCCCATAATACCAACTATGTGATAATAGAAAGTATATATGAACTGAGCACCTACACTAACTTAAATATAATATCAGTAATAAACATGAACTGAACATCTGCTAAATTTACTTACTTTCAAAAATTGAAGCCTTAGAAATTTTAAAATCCAAACTTGAACTGCAAAAGAATAAATATGGTCAACGTTGCATAGTCTTCAAAAGTCTGACCATTATAACTATTTATAGTTGTATTCAATAAATAAATAAAATAAGACAGGACCTGTAATTTTTTGCTAGTAGCAAATGAATTCTAAAATTATGAAGAATGACAAATAAGTCCAAAATCATGAAATAAACGGCTCACAAAAATTCAAAACAAATTGAACCTGGCCGACTCAATTCTACACAAAAATCTTGAAATTTTAAAAAATGCAAAACACAACTAAAATTCAATAAAACTTCATAAAATAGCCAAATTTCGGATCCAAAACGAGCTTACATCTCGCAAGTGAATTGGGCACCGTGTAGAACTCAATGTAAGCATTTTGTGCATATGTAACGACCTTGGTAACACCTCATAGATGAAAGATTATGACCGTTTGAAGTTTGTAATACCCTTTTTATGGTTTTCAATTAGACTTTTGATGATCAAATGATCCAGATAATTCAACGTCATCTTCTCCATATCAGTTTGCCGGTAGTTAGGGTAGAATCTGTATTTAAAACTAAAATTTTCATGATTTTATGTTCTAGAACCAAAAAAAAAAAAAAAATTCATCTTCATTATAGCCTTAAAGAGACAATTAAAGCCAAGAAGTGAATCAACACAATAAAATTCACTTTTAACCACTGTTATGTTGCCATGTGTTACATGTTCTATTCTTTAGGTTCATCATAGTTCAAAAATTGAATAAATATATTTTTTAAGTTATTTGAAATGCTAATTTGATCCTCTGTTTTCTATTATTGGCTTAATTGTCACTATATATATCATACGTAGTGAAACAAGTTCGGATACACAGAAGTGAGGTTTGAAAGTTGAGTTTCAAAAGAGCCAATTAACTAAATAATATCAAATATTAATTTAATTCTCATTTTTCCAATCTTAATATCCACTCAATTGTCACTACTGAAGAAAAAATGTGGTTGAAACATTTTAATTTTTAAACTAAGAATTAGATTTTTTTTTTTTTTGGTCCATTGAAACATCATTCCATTTCAAAATTCTAAGCATAAAATGTTCATGTGACTGGAACATAATCGCAACAAATTAACAAAACAATTCAAACAAAAAAAAAAAAAATCTTGTATGAAACACTTGATTCCGATAAAAACATGTATAACACTTGATTCTGGTTTTAACATGTCAAGATTTACCAAAATTAGTTGAAATGTGTGTGTATAACATCATTTTCGATTGGGTTTTAATAAAATTATTTGAAATAAATTTATTTGGATAACATTGTTTTGGATAGGGCTTGACAACAATTATTCTTGAAGCATGCCAATTAGTTAACTGTAGCCCCCAGGGGCATAGTAGAGTTGGTAGGGATTATGGAAATAAGTCTTTGAGGTCTCACTTTCGAATCTCACTCTTGAATTAAATGGTGCATGTGTTGTGGGTCAATACACGTGCACTTCTTGAATGATGTGTACAAGTCACAACATCATTCAAGAAGCTCTGCTTAGTGCATGCAGAAATAATAAAGGTTTGTTTAGCATTGCCACTGGTTTGAAGGCTTGTACCCCCGCAATGAAGGTCATAAAGGAGAGAATGGCAACAAACTTGTGATTTTGATTATAGTTCCTCTTCTGAGCATTTTGCTTCTTTCATTTATGGTTGTTGGGATTTTCTATCTTCTTTATCCAAAAGTGGGAAGTGTAGAAAATGAGCCAAGAAGAGTAAACAATAAGAATTTGTTTGCAATATGGAGCTACGATGGAAAACTGGTGCATGAGAACATCATTGAAGCAACAGAGGACGTCAACTCTAATTCAACTCTAATTATTGCATTGGGGTAGGAGGACCTGTTAGTGTTTATAAGGCTCAGTTCCCAAATGGTCAAGTTTTTGCTGTGAAGAAACTTCATGTCCCGGAAGATGGCTGACACGCTAATGATTAGAATAGTTTTACAAGTGAAATCAGTACCTTAACAGAAATACGCCATCAAAATATTGTGAAGCTTTATGGTTTTTGTTCACACCCATGGCACTAGTTTTTGGT